AGCTTGATTGGTCCACGTATAAAAGACGTAATTCATTGCATGCTCGGAGAAAAGGCTGCAAAAAGGATTGACATGGTACCTTTGTCCAATAATACGTTGTCACGAAGAATTAATGACATGTCAAATAACATAGAGACCATAATTGTACAGAGAGTGAAAAATAGTCCATATTATGCTATACAGCTGGATGAATCAAGTGATGTAGCTAATCTAGCTATTTTGCTACTGTTTGTACGTTATGTGAATGAAGGTATGGTTGAAGAAGACTTGTTGTTTTGCTGACCATTGGAAGAACGTACAACTGGAGAAGATATCTTCAATCTGACTAATGCATGTTTTCAAGAAAAGGAAATAGATTGGTCTCGTTGCCTAGGCATTTGCACTGATGGGGCCATGTCAGTGACGGAGAAGTATACTGGATTTGTAGCTCAAACAAAAAAGGTTGCATCAAAAGTCTCTTGGACTCATTGCAGCATCCATAGACAAGCCCTCGCAACAAAACGCATGCCTGAGGGACTGAAGGAAGTGCTGGACAATGCTGTGAAAATGGTCAATTTCATAAAATCACGGCCAACAAATCCCAGAATATTTCACGTACTTTGTGAAGAAATGGGTAGTATACACGATTGTCTGTTGACCCATACTGAAGTTAGATGGCTTACACGGGGCAAAATCCTGGTGCGCTTGTTTGAGCTTAGAACGGAAATCCTAGTTTTTTTCAACAGCCACCCTTTCCACCTTGCCAGCTGTATGGAAAATAATGTCTGGCTCCAGAGCCTAGCTTATTTGGCAGATATTTTCTCAAGAATTAATGACCTAAATTTATCTCTTCAAGGTCTCAATATAACAGTTTTCAACGTGCAAGACCGAGTTGAATCCATCATAAAGAAGTTGCAGTTCTGGGAACGTTGTTTGGAAAACAATCAAACTGAGTGATTCAGTAATCTTCATGACTTCCTGGCAGAACATAAACTTCAGTTGGATCAGTGCACTAAAACCAATATAACTGCACACCTAAAAGGACTTTGCACAACATTCAGGGATTACTTTCCAGCTATATCAGGCGATAACGATTGGATTCGCAACCCTTTTGATGATACCACTTTTTCAACACAGATATTGAACACTGAGGAAAAAGAGAAATTGATTGAGATGTCCTGTGATTACGAACTGAGAAGGAGTTTCAGAAATCCGTCACAGATCAACTTTTGGCTGAGTTTAAGAAACGAGTACCCCTTCTGGCAGAAAAAGCTGCTGCAGTTTTGTTACCATTTTCAACAACATACTTGTACGAGAAAGCGTTTTCCTCGTATGCACATCTGAAAACGAAATACAGAAACAGACTTGATGGCGAACCAGACCTGAGACTATCTTTCTCCAAAGGTTCCGGACTTCAAAGAGCTATGCAGAGCAAAGCAAGCGCATCCATCACACTGAGGAAATTTAAATTTAAAACCCTGGAAATATTCATTTTTAGGAGGGGGTTCATGAGATTTCACAATTTAGAGAAAGGGGTTCGCGGGCTGTTAAAATTTGGGAACCACTGATCTAGACTAATAATCTACTTACAGCAGGGGATCTCAAACTTCACTGCGCCGGGACCCCCTTCAGACAACAAAGTGATTGCATGACTGGGGGGAGTGGGGGAAGAGGGGGCTGGAGCCCAAGCCCAGCTGCCGTGGGTGGGAGTGGAGCTCAGGCTTCAGCCATGGGTCCCAGCAACTCTAATACTGGCCTTGGCGACGCCATTAAAATGGGGTTGCAAGACACTTTGGGGTCCTGACCCACAGTTTGAGAACCACTGACTTACAGCTAGCTTGGCAGAATTCCATCTTTTTTGTAATTTCAATGGATAATGTTGATTTAAGTTTTTTTTTTTTCAATTTTTATCAATTTAAAAATTTTCACAGTTGCACAAAATTATGGGTTTTAAGCAATTTATTTTTATCGATTTAAATTTTCACAGTTGCAGGAAATTATGGAGGGGGGAGATCAGACAATAATTAATGACAGAGACAGATTCAAAAAGTTAACGCTTTATAACCGTTAAAAAAAAGGTCGCCCTCCTATGTCAAAAATACGAAGCAAATATCCTTAAATCAAACTCTAGTAAATTCTCAAGCAACATTTTTCTTATTTTGCCTATAGGTAAATGTTGATTATTATTGATGGAAATATTTTTTTCATGGGTTTGTGTGTATGGTGATAAAAATCTTGTCTTTCCAAGCCTAGTTATAACTTATTACAAAACAGAATCAGAGAACGCAAGGGTCATCTAGTCTAACCCCCTGCCAAGATCAGGATTTGTTGTGACAGATGATTAACGATCACCAGAATGATTAATACTGATCATTGTGTGCGTGTGTATATATATGAAAAAACTGTATGGACTTTTTTTGAGACAAAACCATCAAATATTACACTGGACTCAAATAGCACATTTTATTGTGATTCTTTTCAATTTATTTTTTTAATCTGTGAAATATACAAAAAGTTAACAAAAGGCCGTCTCCCTGCATCCATTGACTAGGGCTCCTAGGTGAATGGTAATACAAATTAATAAAACAAGTAAAGCAAAGCCAAAAGACGCAGGAGAACGTATATACAGATCCATTACTATTTCTGTACCACTAAAGAGGCACACGTGGAATTAATACAAGATGAGAAGTCTTAATCATAAAGAATGTACAATCTAGAGCCTTGAGCCTGTAGTCAGAGCCACATGGGCAAATTCATGGCTTGACTGTAGCCCTGGGGTTCAGTCCTGCAAACACTTACCACCAAAGTAGTGAGCGCTCCGCTTGAACGATCCCACATAAACCAATGAATCGACGCACTCTACTCAGCACTGAGGGCCTGATCTGGCAGTTTTTCCATTCACTTCAATGGGAGCTGGATCAGGTCCCAAGTGTTTGCAGGATCAGCGTCTACATGAGAACCAGGGATAACAGGCAGGAGCAGGGGAAGTACGTGTTGCAATGAGATGAGCTGTGCACTCCATGGGCTCGTTCCTAGTTGGTTCTTTTAAAAGCCCAACCCCCCAACAAATTAACCAGCACGATGTGTCTGCATCCAGAGCCTCACCAGTCCCTGTAATGGGAGAGTCACCACTACACCACACTACACAACACTCTATGCTGGGAACCAGGACTCCGAAAAAGATATGGGGGGCTTGGTGGATAATCAGCTGAACGTGAGCTCCCAGTGTGACAATGTGGCTAAAAGAACTAATGCGATTCTAATGGGAATCTTGAGAGTACAGTGTATTTTACCTCTGTATTTGGCACTGGTGCAATGCTGCTGGAATCCTGCGTTCAGTTCTGGTGCCCACAATTCAAGCTGGATGTTGATAAATTGGAGAGGGGTCAGAGACAAGCCACGAGAATGATTAAAGGATTAGAAAACCTGCCTTATGGTGATAAGCTAAATAGACTGAGCTCTTTGAGTCTAACTGAGAACGTTAAGGGATGACCTGATTACAGTCTGTAAGTATCTACATGGGGAACCAATATTTAATAATGGACTCTTCAACTTAGCAGAAAAAGGCAGGACACGAGCCAATGGCTGGACAAATCGACAAATTCAGACTGGAAAGAACATGTACATTTTTAGCAGTGAGGGTAATTAACCATTGGAACAACTTACCCAGGGTTGTGGTGGATTCTCCATTACTGACAATTTTTAAATCGAGATGGGATGTTTTCCAGAAGCTCTGCTCTAGGAGTTATTTTGGGGAAGTTCTCTGGCCTGTGTTACCGGACAGACTAGATGATCACAATGGTCCCTTCTGGCTTCTGAATCTGAAAACTGTGTGTGCAACCTCTCACCCATTTTAGTGACGTCTGATAGCAGTTGCCTCTATACCAAGCCCCACAATACTAAACATTGCAAACGCAGAAGTGATACCGTGCTACCCACACCTGCCAACACACAATGGCCAGCGGTGCTCTGATGGCCAGGAATATAGAAACAACATGCTAACCAAACCCACACACCTTACGGCTTGCTCTGAAAGGGGCCAGATTTGTTAATGTCAAACTGTTACATCACACGCTGGGTTTTCAGCCACAACAGAAAGCAAACCTGGGAACCTATGCATTTAAACTGGCCCCTAGTAGCCAGCTGCAGACAGCGCCTACTACCTGATGTCTCTGACTTGACTCACCCTGTCGTTGCTTTGATGTCATCTCTTCTAGCAGCCACCTACCAAACTGTTTTTTCATCGGGAAATGCAGATTCCTCATGAACTTTTTGTGGGAACGTATCAGTTTCAACTGAACTCTTTCAGCTGCAGGCTGGAATTTCTGGTCAAAACAAGAGAAAATGAGACATCCCAGAATAGCCAATAGCTTGTTGGGTCAGGCACTCCCTTGGGATGTGGGAGAATCAGGTTCAAGTTGCAGCATAATTAATAGACAGTTGTATTGATTAATCTCTTAGATCGCTGTGGTCAACAAAGGTTTAGTCTCCTGAGGACTACAGCATCAGGAATATCATCATCAATATCATTGGAATAAGAGACTCTAGGAGCACACGAGAAACAATTCATCACGAGTCCCTTTATTAACAAATCCACTCAGCAGATAAACAATCCCCCAGATACTGAAACACAACAGCAGACAGGGCGAGAGTGCAAAGAGTTTGGCCCTATGACCAGCATCCCTCAAGTGTCACATCTCCTACTGGGGGATCCTAGAATGTAAGTCATTCTTTCATCATCATCATCAGCTGTCATCCTAGCATCACCTGGTGCATCCCCCCAGCACACAGACTGGGCAACACCTCTTATCCTGAGTTAAGAAGGGCTGGTCTACACTGAGGGGGAGGGAGGGGGGGAAATCGATCTAAGATACGCAACTTCAGCTACGAGAATAGTGTAGCTGAAGTCGACGTATCTTAGATCGACTTACCTCGCGTCCTCACGGCGCGGGATCGACGGCCACGGCTCCCCCATCAACTCCACTTCCGCCTCTCGCCCTGATGGAGTTCTGGAGTCAAAGGGGAGCGCGTTCGGGGATCGATTTATTGCATCTAGACGAGACGCGATAAATCAATCCCCGCTAGATCGATTACTACCCGCCGATCCGGCAGGGATCCGGCGGGTAGTGAAGACGTACCCTAAGGCTCATATATACATGGACAGGCTGCAACCCCTTCTCCCTTTATCCATGCTTCCACACCCCACATTCCTCACTGGCTGTCCCCTCATTCTCACTAACATCCATGTCAATGAGTTACCTCAGCAATGTGAGGTTATTACAAAATCCCCCAAAATGTCACTCTCGGGCACCTTGCGGTATTAACTGGTGCATTATACAAGGAACAGACTAGAACCTAAGCTGCAGTTTCCTGAATATCAGCACTTAACACACCTTTTACAGTAATCTCATACGTTCCTGGAACAGGGTTATCTTTCAGTCAACTAGTCATGCCCACCTGTTCTAGCTCCGAGACCCTCTCTGGCCATGCTATGCATCTTACAGCCCTAACGCCTGTAGGCCTAGCGTTACAGCCTTACGTACTCATCAGAGACCCACTCTCATTAGTCCCATGCCCCTGTGCTGGGAGCCTACTCATATTCTACCACATGGACAACTCTAATCTAGTACCCACACACAGCTTACATAATTATACGATTATTTATATATTAAAAAATTCAGCTACAAGGTCCTGAGATTGAATCAGGCAGAGTCAAGCTTCGAACCTGGTTCTCCCACATCTCTGCAGAGTGCCCCAACCTCTGGGCTACTGGCTATTCTGCTGGCGGGGCAGATGTCTCGGGAAATTTTTGAAAGGTCTGAGTTTTGGCCCGATGCAGAACAGGACAAAATCTTTGCAGTCCCGGCAGTTTCTGCGGCTGGGAAAACCGTTCCTTGCCCAGCTCTCCTCGCTACAACTCCGAGACGGTCTGGGGCAGTGAAAAGGGAGCTAGGCCTGATTGGCTTTTCATCTGGCCAGCCCCGTGTGTTTCCCATCATTTGTTAGTATTTCCCAAAGCCAGTGATGGGCTCCAGCGTCACATGATGGGTCAGAGCAGTCATGATTTCCACCCGTGGACTGCTGGAGACTCAACCCCTCTGCTGGAATTATTACTGAGGCAGGCTATTACCATGCCACTCAAACTGTCAAATCCAAAGGCCAAATGGTATTTATGCAATTGCTCTAAACGTGCCTAAAAAGCCTAAGTAATGAGCAATTTACTAACCCTAATTCTTTAGTTTCATATTTATCCTACACCCACTCCCCCCCAGTAGCTTCTAAGACCTGAATGCCCCCACTCTGTGCTGCTGGGGGGCTCTGTCCCTCAGTCACAAAAGGGCACGCATGGGGGATACTGCCTGTCTCCACATCAGTTTGCATAATGCGATGACGGTGGAGCTGGGAGGGATCCAAACCCCCATCAAGTTACTCCCCACTCCTACCCTTCCCCCCGCAGCGTGTGCTTGGGGCTCACAACCTCTCGGCCTCGTAAAACCTTAACGGGATCGGTGCTGAATGAAACCAAAGTCTAACTGACAAGCAGAGTCTCCAATACCCGGGAAAGCGACGTGGGAATCAGGTAATGCATTAGCGAATAGGGCAGAGGCAGAGAACTAGAAAGCCCTGCTGAGAACATAAGGAACTGCAAAGCATATTGATCTGTGTGGGCCTCCACAGGACCATCCCCACCATGGCATCCAAGCACTCCCTCCTGCTCCGTTCCCCTGCAGGGGAAAGCCCCAGTTATCGGACTTGTGGATTCTCTACAGTTCAGACGGGGCCCCTCAGCTCCAAGATGCACCTAGACACTGACACGGTTTCCCTGAGATTCCAGCCACCCTGACATTTCAGAGGCAGCTGGACAATGCTCACCTGGGCGTCACTCCCTAGATAAGGCCAGAAGGGACCATTATGATCATCTACTTTGAACTCCTGCACAACCCAGGCCAAAGAACATCACCCAGTGCTTGCTGCATCCTTTCCCAGGTGATAATTTATCAGTCCTCGCCGGCGACTGCCTTATTTCCTGTTCTTACAGCCAGTGGGGCTGGGCTGTCCCCGTGTGCTGGGAGCTGGGAAGCCCCTCCCTTCGCCCAGTGTGAGATCTGTACTGGTAATTGAGACTGGTCACGGTAGAAGCTTTTGTTGCAGTGGGTGCAGCGATCACGTCTCTCCCGGGTGCGTTGTCTGGTGAGCAGTGAAGGTTTCTGTGGACTGGGAGCTGGTAGCTTCTCCCTGCAGTGGCTGCCCCGGTGCTTCAGAGGGCGGTGAATGCCGGGCGATCTGTCGGTGCATTCGCCGCATCCTCAGGATCTTCTCCCTGGCATGGACCCTCTGGTGCCGCAAGAGGTTCAGCTTGCGGGCGAAGCGTCTCTCGCAGTCGGGGCAGTGATACGGCCTCTCTCCAGAATGGACCATCTGGTGCCTGCGGAGGCTGTAGGAGCAGGTGAACGTCTTCCAGCACACGGTGCACGTTGGGAAGATCTTGCTGTGAGTCCTCTGGTGCCTCGTTAGATCTATCTCCTGGGAGAAGTGTTTCTTACACGGGCGGCACATGTACAGCCTCTCATCAGTGTGGCTCGGCCGGTGCTCCCCGATGCCGGATTTGCTTCTCGTGCTTCTGCGGGCGGTTCCCTTGGCCTCCATTCCTGGGCAGAGTCTCAGCTTCAGATCGCTGCTTTCCCCAAGTCCAGGTGCCGGAGCTCCCTCTCCTGTGTGAATCCTCTGATGCAGAGCAAGATGCTGCTTGGAAGCAAAGCGGATCTCACACTCAGGACACTCGTACGGCCCCTCGTTTGCATGGCTCCTCTGGTGAATGATAAGGTTGATCTTCAGCCGAAAGCTCTTCCCGCACTCTGTACAAGGGTATAGTCTGTCCCTCGGGCGGTTCCGCGGGCAGACACTCAGCGTCTTTAAGCCACTCTCCCCTTCAGTGGAGTCGCACCACCTTTTCTTCTCAGGGTCTGGCTGCTTAGAGCACAGCTGGCTCTCAGCCTCAGCCAAGGTCTGGAGGACCTTCTCTCTGGGTCTTCCTGGTAATTCCCCCTCTGCCTCCAGATTTTCAGGTTCACAATCCCCATCAAACCTGGTTTCTTTTGTCATTAACTGGCCATCTCCTGAAATGAACCAGCAACACAAAGGTTATTCGTTTCATTCTCTTGGGACACAAGAGTCCTTTGAAGACTCATGACACACTTGGGTCCCAACAGGGCGGATTTCTTTGCAGAAAGGGAGCGTTGAGGAGTCTGGGAACGTGCACTTCAGAGAAGGGGAGGGGCAGCATATTTTAGCCTATTTCAGCATGTAGAAAAGGAAAGACTTTAGCAGACACACTGGAAAGACTTGCAGGAGCAAGGTAAACGCAGGGCTTGCAAACTACACTCTCTTCTGCAGCCTCTATACTCTCTGTAGAATCAGAAAACATAAAATATGTATCGAGATATAAAATACGCACGCACACAGAGTACAGACCTCTTATCTTTTCAGATCCTACTGAAAGTAGAGAGAGTAAGAAAGTGGAGTTTGCAGATTCTGCAATTACCTTGCACCTGCCATTCTGACACTAACATGAGCATTAAGTGCTGAATATTGCAGGCAAACTAGTTTCCCATTAGAAACGTGTAACTCTAGCAGACCCAGCAAGCTCCGTACAACCCTCCGAGAGCAGCCATGTGATCTCACTCAGGTAACCCTCGTCCTCCCTCACTCCCACGCCAGTGTTTTCTTTTCTATGCAGCGGCTGCAATGAGATTATAAAGTGCTCTCTGGAGCAGAGACTGTGTCTTTGTATCAGCTGTGCAAAGCACTGAGGGGGACATTCCCAGAGGATGTGCACGTGGGCAGCGCAGGTTAAGCTGTGCATAGGTCTTGTGCTGGTCTTCTGCACAGGGGATGAATTTCACCCTGTAGAAATGAAGTTCCATGCAAAAAACCCCACCACGTTAAAAGAATGTGAAGGCTGCAAAGTCAACCACTTGTAAGTTAGAAATGCCAGAAGTAACGTTGCCTGTGCCATCTTTCATTCAGCCTTCTTCTGCACATGCATTATGCCCCCCCTCCCTGGCTCCTACACCGGCCCCCTCTGCTCCAGCAACTGAAAACAGCATCTTCTAACAGAAAGTCTTAGTTAACCTTCCTGAACCGTAACAGCACTGCCAGCTCCACCTACACCACAACAGGGTTGGGAGGGAACCCAGCACACTTGCCCACTAAACTTCCTTTGCCCTCTACCTTTACTCAAGAGTTCTGAAGGAACTCAAACAGGAAATTGCAGAACTACTAACTGGGGTAGTTAATGTATCGCTTAAATCAGCCTCTATGCACCAGACAACTGGAGAGTAGCTAATATACTGTTAATTTTTTTTAAAGGCTTCAGAGGTGATCCCGGTAATTACCGGCCGGGAAGCCTAACTTCAGCACCAGTCAAATTGGTTGAAACTATAGTAAATAACACATAGATGAACATGATATGTTGGAGAAGAGTCAACACAGCTTTGGTAAAGGGAAATCATGCCTCACCAATCCATTAGAACTCTTTGAGGGGGTCAACAAACATGTGGACAGTGGTGATCCACTGCATATAGTTTACTTGGACTTTCAGAAAGCCTTTGACAAGGTCCCTCACCAAAGGCTCTTAAGCAAACTAAGCAGTGATGGGAGAAGAGGGAAAGTCCTCTCATGGATCAGTAACTGGATAAAAGATAGAAAACAAAGGGTAGGAATAAATGGTCAGTTTTCACAATGGAGAAAGGTAAATAGCTGTGTCCCCCCCGGGATCTGTGCTGTTCAACATATTCATAAATGATCTGGAAAAAGGGGGTAAACAGTGAGGTGGCAAGTTTTTCAGATGATAACTATCTTGAGTAATTTACTAAGTCCAAAGATGACTGCGAAGAGCTACAAAGGGATCTTAAAAAACAGGGTCAAAATGGTAGATGAAATTGAATGTTGGAAAGTGTAAAGTAATGGAGGATAGGTCTATTAATGGCTATTAGCCAGGATGGGCAGGAATGGTGTCCCTAGCCTCTGTTTGCCAGAAGCTGGCGCTGAGCGACAGGGAATGGATCACTTGATGATTAACTGCTCTGTTCATTCCCTCTGGGGCATCTGGCATTGACCACTGTCGGAAGACAGGATACTGGGCTAGATGGACCTTTGGTTTGACCCAGTATGGCCGTTCTTATGTTCTTAACGAACATTGGAAAAAATAATCTAAACTATACATACAAAATGATGGGTCTAAATTAGCTTTTACCACTCAGGAAAGATCTGGGAGTCATTCTGGAGAGTTCTCTGAAAACATCTGCTCAATGTGCAGTGTCAGTCAAAAAAGCAAACAGAATATTAGCAACCATTAGGAAAGAGAAAGATAACGAGACAGAAAATATCATAATGCAGCTATATAAATCCATGATACGCCCACACCTTGAATGCTGCATGCAGTTCTGGTCGTCCCAGCTCAAAAAAGATATATTGGAATTGGAAAAGTTTCAGAGAAGGACAACAAAAATGATGAGAAGTCTGGAACAGCTTCCATATAAGAGATTAAAAAAATACTGGGACTGTTCATCTTAGAAAAGAGACAAATATGGGGGGATAGGACAGAGGTCTCTAAAACTAGGAATGTTGTGGAGAAAGTGAATACGGAAGTGTTACTTACCCCTTCACATAACACAAAAACTAGAGGTCACCTGATGAAATTAATACGCAACAGATTTAAAACAAACCAAAGAAAATATTTCTTCATGCAGTCCACAGCCAACCTGTGGAACACGTTGCCATGGGACGTTGTGAAGGCCAAAAGTATAACGGGGTTCAAAAAGGAATAGGTCCATCAACGGCTATTTGACAAGATGGTCAGAGACCCAACCCCATGCTCTGGGTATTCCTAAGCCTCCAGCTGCCAGAAACTGGGAGCGGACGACAGCAGACAGTTCACTCAAAATTGTCCTGTTCTGTTCATTCCCTCCGAAGCATCTGACACTGGCCACCATCAGAAGACAGGACACTGGGCTAGATGGATCATTGGTCCGACCCAGTATGGCTGTTCTTGTGTTCCCTTTTTTCCACGTTGATCCACAAATCGCACATCCATTGATGACACTGACTCACACCTGATTTGGGGCCCACGAGCGCCCTTGGCTAGTCACATCTCACCCACCACTGAAGAGCACTAGGACCTTGCTAGATGGTAAGTCAGGGTCCCCCCTCCTCACCTCTCTGCCCCACCACCTCTTACAATGATGTGCCATCTAGCAACACTTGCTTTTCACTTTTCTGATCTCACACTCTCTGCAGACCAGAACATCACTAGAATTATGATTCTCTCTCTCAGTTAGCACAGGAGGAAAGGCGGCACATCACGAGCTGGTGACACCAAACGTTTACACAGTGCTTTTCAGTGGTGGGTCTCAAAGCGCTTTACCAGGGAAGGAATACATCATTCTCCCCATTTTACAGAGCAGAAAGGTAAAGAAGCTGCCCGAGGCCCCAGAAAAGCCAGTAGCAGAGCTAAGAATGGAATGCACGGGACCATGGGACGTCCCATATGCAGAAAAGAGGTAGAACCATAGAAATCATAGGGTTCCCTTAGGTTAATCTGTTTCTCACCAGTGCTGCAATCTGTAGGGCTCGGTCTCCCCTCCAGACCTGGCTGATTGTTCTCACAGGGCTCCTCCTCTTGTATAACCCACGATAAAATATCCATGGTAGAAACCGGAGATTCTGTCCAAAGGAAAAAGAGCAACATTCGTTACACGCTGGACACACACAGGGCTTCTGAAGGATCTGGCCCCTTATCTCTGCCCTCTGCTGATTCTTGGCTGGAGACTGGCTCTGAATGGATTCCGACATGTTCCTGAAGCTCCGGGGGAAACTGAAAGTTAAGCAGCCGTGAAATGCTCTGAAAGGGAACAGGTCAGAGTAAGAACTAGCTGGGACTGAAGCAAAGACGTGGAGGAAAATGACCAGCAAACACCCAGATGTCCGTAAGGGAGGGCCACCGAAGTCCCTCTGGATTCTAGAACTCCAAATTCTACCTTCTCCGTTTCAGTTGCTGCCCTTCCCCCTGCATCCTCAGCTCTTACTAACCTTCTTCACCACCGCTACTCTCAGCCCCAACCATGCCCCTCACCCACCTTCCCGTGCATTTGAAATCCCTCCATATCCTCCATTCAAAAAACCCAACCTTCACATCATCAAGACTTGGTACTTGAGCCCCATCGTCTTTCCTCAGGGACACACCCCAACTAACAGCGTTCTGAAATACCCTCTGCCTGTAAAGCTCCGGCTGCTACTGCCAGCGAGCTTCTTGGGACTCTCCTTTCCCCTCTTCCACCACTCTCCGGCATGAAACGGGGGCATCTCACCCCATCAGTTTCTTCTCCTCTTGCCATGGGATCAGCATCCAAGTTCATGACCCTTCAGACCATCTTCCATCCCCTTCCCAGTCATCCCTCTCTAGCAATCCTATCTACTCGGCCACCTCCTTAGGGTCACACCTTTGGCCTATTCTCCAAGCCTCCTCACTATAACCCGGAAGCCACCCCAGTCTCATGTTCCCATTACCCCGTAACTGCTAAGATCCTCATTTCCCCGTTCTCTCCGACCATCTCCCCAGCACTCCCCACAACAACATCCTTTCCTCATCTTTTAATCAAACTCCAGTTGAGTCCCCACATGCATCACCTGCTCGCTTCAGTGCTTCCCATCCGCAGGAACTCACCCAGCCCTAACTGGAGCGAACGACCAACTTGGACACACACAAGCAGCTCAGTTTATTCTCTGCCAAGCCTCTTGTTGGAGATGGGGACCCCACTTGTGTTGTCAGTCATCAAGGATGCTGGTGAGTGAGTCCTGGACTATTGTGTCCTTATTCCATTCTACGCCCCACTTCTCTCTCCATCCCTTTTCCAGGAGGAGTTTTCTACATTCTTCCTTGCAACAATCACACATAACCCCATTGTATTCCTATCACCACATCTACCTCATAGACTCTAAGGCCAGAAGGGACCAGCGTGATCACCACATCATCGCAGGCCACAGAACCTCACCCATCCACTCCTGCAATAGACCCATAACCTCTTAACCCTTAAGCTCCTGAAGTCCTCAAATCATGGTTTAAAGATTTCAAGTTACAGAGAATCCACCATTCACTCTAGTTCAAACCAGCAAGTGACCCGTGCCCCAAGCTGCAGAGGAAGGTTGAAAAATCCCCAGGGTCTCTGCCAATCCGACCTGGGGGGAAATTCCTTCCTGTCCCCAAATATGGTGATAACTTAGACCCTGAGCATGTGGGCAAGACCCACCAGCCAGACACCTGGGAAAGAATTCTCTGTAGTAACTCAGAGCCCTCCCCATCTAGTGTCTCATCTCCGGCTGCTGGTGATTTTTGCAACTAGCAGTCGCGGATTGGCTATATGTCATTGTAGGCAGTCCTATCATACCATCCCCGCCATACAGTTACCAAGCTCAGTCTTGAAACCATTTAGGTTTTTTGTCCCAGTTCTCCCCTTGGAAGGCAATTCCAGAACTTCACTCCTCTGATGGTTAGAAACCTTCGTCTAATTTCAAGCCTAAACTTGTTGATGGCCAGTTAGCATCCATTTATTCTTGTGCCAACATTGGCATTTAAGCTAAATAACTCCTCTCTCTCTCCCTGGTATTTATCCGTCTTGATGCATTTAAAGAGAGCAATCGTATCTCCCCTCAGCCTTCGTTTGGTTAGGCTAAACAAGCCAAGCTCCTTGAGTCTCCTCCCGTAGATTTTCCATTCCTCGGATCATCCTAGTAGCCCTTCTCTGCACCTGTTCCAGTTTGAATTCATCTCTCAAACATGGGAGACCAGAACTGCACACAGTATTCCAGATGAAGTCTCACTAGCGTCTTGTATAATGGCAATAACACTTCCCTATTTCTACTGGAAACACCTCGCCTGATGCATCCTAGGACAGCATTAGCTTTTTTCATGGCTGCATCACATTGCCGGCTAATAGTCATCTGTGATCAACCAATACACCCAGGTCTTTCTCCTCTGTCGCTTCCAACTGATACATCCCCAGATTACAGCAAAAATTGTTGTTAGTGTATGAGCTTGCACTTGGCACTATTAAATTTCATCCCGTTTCTATTACTCCAGTTTTCAAGGTCCTCCAGATCTTCTCGTATGATATTCCGGTCCTCCTCTGTGCTGGCGATACCCCCCAACTTTGTGTCATCCGCAAATTTTATTAGCACACTCCCACTTATTGTGACAGGGATATGAATCAAAACATTAAATAAGATTGGTCCCAAGACCAATCCCTGAAGAACTCCACTAGTAACCTCTCTTCAGCCTGACAGGTCACCTTTCAGTATGACCCGTTGTAGTCTCCCCTTTAACCAGTTCCTTATCCACCTTTCAATTCTCATATTAATCCCCATCTTCTCCAATTTAACTAGTAATCTCCCATGTGAATGGTATCAAATGCCTTCCTGAAACCCAGGTAGATTAGATCTACTCCATTTCCTTTGTCTAAAAAAAATCAGAGCAGGCCTAAATGACACAGTGGTCTGAACACCCATGCCCTGTCCACAGTAGTGCTCCCAACATTGCTCCCAATGGTGGCACTGCACGGCTAGATTTCCTGAAAAAGAATGGGGTAGGGACAGCCATAGTGAAGCATGCTGTGACGCCCTGTATAACTCACCTGGGTAGGCGTCTATAGGGACTTCATTTTCCTCTGATCCCTCTTCACTCTGATCTTTTTCTCCTGATCTATCCTGGGATCCTGGCTGATCCCTTAGGTAGGGCTCTTCCCCTCGCTCAATCTGAGACAGGATGTCAGGTTTGGAAACAGCAGAATCTGTTCACGGGAGAGGACATTAAGAGTCCGCATGTTTCATTCATAATTGGTTGAGCTCTTTTTACACAGACCTGTAAATGATTTTAAGCCACTGGAAGTGGTGGGCGAGCTGGACAGCTGCAAACATTTTATTAGGATTCCTACACAAAAGCGACACAGGCGAGATGGGTTTTGTTCCTCGAAGAGGGGAATTCAAGGGTTCACATATGCAAGGGGCCTTGATGCCCCATGAGCAGTACAAGTCAAACCTCTTACTTATTTTCAAGCTGCAACCAGCCCACATAACCAGATCATGACATGAGATCTTACAAAAGGGGACTGGCTTTATTAATAGGAAACATTTTGTTTCAACTTTAATAATCATTTAAAGAGCAGTTCTTCTGACCCCCGTATTATCAGCTGCATGTGCCTGTCTGGGGAAGGGACACAGAAACTACTGCGACATGGAGCTGTCTGGGGAATCAGCAGGAGAACATGCTCTTTCCATCTCTACAGACCGTTCTTCAGAAGGGGGGCTCATCCCCTCTGAACAGACTGTAAAGTTACTGTTGCTACCTGAGAGACGGACTTTGACAAAGGTGATTTTACATCGCAAACCACACAAGGAACCTAGCAGGTTTCTTTATGGGGACCGGACATGAATAAATAAATGTTTTACCAAGTGATGTAGGAGATTTTCCATCATTAGCACCTTTTATATCAGGATTGGACGTTGTTCTAAAAGACAGAACCTGGTTCATACACAAATTATCAGGCTTAAGCCACGGAACTTCACCCAGCAATTCCTGAATTATGTTACAAGAGGTCAGGCCAGATGATCACAACGATCCCTTCTGCCCTGAAAGTCTGTGTATGTAACACTGGAAAGCACTTGAGATATAGAGATCAGAACCATCGTTGTGGATCTCATGCTCTCCTTACAAATGGGAGAGTGTGTGGATCTGATCACGGAGAACGGTTCCGTTGGCTGCCAGTGCTGACCACCAGAAATCAAAGGAACATGGGGGCAGCCAAGCTGGTACCTAGCAAAGCTGGAAATATACAAGTAAAACCCAAGCCCTACCCAGGGAGATCAGGGTCTCATAATTCTCTTTCATCACGTTCTTGTAAAGCTCTTTCTGCCATTCGTCTAAGTTCGCCCACTCCTGCTCGTTGAAATAGACGGAGACGTCATCGAACGTCACCGGCACCTGAAATCACACGTATTGCACATTCAGCACTTTTTGCTGCAATTACAAATAACCGTCTTGAATTAAAGATGAAGGTATGCAAGAGAGCGTTTGGCTTTTATTATATGTCTGTGCTGTGCTTAGTACAATGGAGCCCTACCTTGGATGGTGCCTGTGAACGCGAACACAACACATACCACAAAGGTCTGCTCCCCACCCGTTTACACAGTGTCTAGACTAGCACGGACAAATGTGCTTTCTGACTTGAATTAATTGGCAATCATAGACTATCAGGGTTGGAAGAGACCTCAGGAGGACATCTAGTCCAACCCCCTGCTCAAAGCAGGACCAATCCCCAGACAGATTTTTACTCCAGTTCCCTAAATGGTCCCCTCAAGGATTGAACTCACAACCCTGGGTTTAGCAGGTCAAAGCTCAAACCACTGAGCTATCCCTCGATCAACTCAAGTTGGAAACTCCAGTGTACTTATCCTAGGTGAGCTGCCAAAGGCTCCACAAATCATAACCAGCTGTGCTATGTGGCCCCGCGATTAATGAACAGCTATCACTCTAAGGCCATGTCTACACTAGCACTTTTGTCAATTAGGGGTGTGAAAAAACACACACACACCCCCGACCGACAGAAGCGCCGGTGTGGACAGCGCGGTCGGTGGGAGACGCTCTCCTGCTGACATAGCTCCGGCCGCTCGTTGTGGTGGTTTCATTCTGCTGGCAGGAGAGCTCTCTCCCATCAGCACAGGGTGATCGCACGGAGACCGTACAGCGGTACAGCTGTGCCACTCTAAGGTCGCTAGTGTAGACAAAGCCTAAGCCTCGAATGAATGAGGAAACAGCCTGGACAGCTGGTCAGGCACAAATCGGACCGTTCACTCATTATTAACCATCGTCTCATGCTGAATTTCAGAACCTACCTGCCATCTATGCAAGGCCCTTTCAAGACAGCTGATACAAGGTTGGGCTTTATTTTTGCTGCTGGAGTCTCTGTTGTTGGCGGTTTTTAAGAACAGGTTAGTCAAACACCGGTCTGGGATGGTCTAGATAACACTTAGTCCTGCCTCGGAGCAAGGGAGTGGACTAGATGACCTCTCGAGGTCCCTTCCAGTCCTACCCTGCTATGGTATTGTTACCTGGGGCACCTCCCCCTTAGCGCCTGGGGGGAGTCGCATGATCCAGAAGTTCCTGTTCTTCAGCAGGTTCTCCAAGTTCTCCAGCCTCCTCTGCAGCAGATTATTCTCCTGGATCACCGTTCCCAACATGGCCCACTTACTCTCCAGCTTGGTATCAAACTCCCATGCTGTTTTCTCGCAGCCTATTAGTTTCTTCTCAGCACTCCCCAGTCTCCTCTCCAGATTCAGCAATCGCAGGGTGTAGGACTTAACTTTCCTCTCCACTGCTTGAACTGCTGCCATCACAGTCCCCAGGGAACACTCTGTAGTCTGATCATGAGCTTCTCTCACTGACCTTTGTTTGAGGACAACAGAGGGGTTTAGAGGCAGCAAATGCCATGAATCTGCATCCCATTCTGAACCCTGTGTAAACAGACAGAAATTGATAGTGGAGTTGTGGTCACGTCCCCGTCAGTCAAAGCCAGCTGCAGACAGAAATGGCCAGAGAGGATATGTCTACACTGCACACTAAGCCCGGATCTGTGGGACCCAGGCTTGAGCACTCCGTGTTTCCAAACCCGTCCACACTGCAATGGGAACCTGGGCTTCACAATTATACTGGTGCATCCCTCCTACAATATACAGACCTAAGCGTGTGATGCCGTGGGATGCATAAACAGGGGACTCTCAAGTAGGAGTAGAGAGGTTATTTTGCCTCTGTATTTGGCAAATGCTGTTGGAATACTGTGTGAAGTTCTGGTACCTACCATTTAAGAAGGATGTTGATATCTTGGAGAAGGTTCGGAGTCATGGGAATGATTAAAGGATTAGAAAACCTGCCTTAGAGTGAGAGACTCAAAGAGCTCAATCTATTTAGCTTAACAGAGAGACGGTTAAGGGGAGATTTGATTACAGTCTATATGTACCTACACAGGGAATAAATATTTAACAATGAGCTCTTCAATCTAGCAGAGAAAGGTAGAACACGACCCAACGGCTGAAAGTTGAAGCTAGACAAATTCAGACTGGAAATAAGGTGGAATATATATATATATATTAACAGTGAGAGTAATTAACCATTGCAGCAATTTAGCAAGGGTCCTGGTGGATTCTCCATCACTAACAATTTTTAAATCAAGGTTGGATCTAAAAGATCTGCCCTAGGAATCATTTTGGGGCAGTTCTCTGGGCTGTGTCACACAGCAGGTCAGACTAGGTGATCACAATGGTACCTCCTGGCCTTAGAATCCATGAGTCAGAACTTCAGCTTCTGTGGGCGCATATATTATTGTATCCCAGGATTCCTGGCTCCCTCGCCAGCTGAGGCCCTGGGGCTTGTTTCACTGGGGGTTGTGGGAGAACTTGTCTGCCTGTCTCATGGGAGTTGGCCAGAAGTGTTCTGGGTGTTTAGAGCCCAAGAACACATCCAGCCAAGCCATTTTGTGTCCGCATGCTCCCTGCAGCCAGAACCGATGTGGATCCCGAGCCGGTGAAAGAACTTCTCCACCTCACACTGTCAGCCCTGTTTCCCGTCACAGGCGGAGCATCTGTGAGATGCTGCTGGGCGTTTCAGTGGCAGTTTTTGACCTGCCCAAGGCACCTCCCAGAGGGGGGTACTGACATGCCAGCTGCTCATGTCTTTTGCGTTAGATGCAGACTCCCCCTATGTAGACAGGCACTTCTGGAGCGGGGCCACAAGCACAGACAGGTGGGATCCCATCATCACGCAGACCTGGGATGAAGACGCAGACATCCCTGAAGGTTTGTGATCAGCTTGCCCCCCACTGTAGTGTCAGAACACATGCACGAGGGGGGCCATGCCCGTGCAGAAACAGGTCACGATAGGCTTCAGGAAGCTGGCTACCCCAGACTGCTACAGGTCTGTGGCTAACCACTTTGAGGCTGGCAGATCAACTGTGGGGGTGGCTGTGGCAGAGGTCTGTGAGGTGACCAGGACTGTTATGCACCCAAAGTTGATGGGCATTGCAAACGTTCCTGTCATAATTATCGGCTTTCGGAGTACAGGCTTTCCAAATTGTGCTGGGGCCTCCGCTGGAACTCATGCACCTATTGTTTGCCCGCTGCAGGGAGCACACGGGTACGTACACTCCATCATTACGCAGGCCCTAGTCCACCACAGGGGCAGATTCATGGACACGACTGGGGGATGCACTGGCAGGATGCATGACGCTAGGGTGTTCCAGAGATCCGGACTTTACTGTCATGGACAAGCTGGGACATTAGTCCCACTGCATGACATTGTTATACACTGTCCTCACAGTTATTCTAGGGGACCCTGCTTTACCCCGTTGCCAGGGCTTATGAAACCTTAGCCCAATGACAAAGGAGGGTTCAACCACACACTCCGTAGCTGTAGGATACCGGTGGAATGTGCTTTTGGCAGATTGAAATCCCATTGGCACTGCCTTCAAAACCGTATGGATGCCAGTGTCATTAATGTGGGCCTTATTCCTGTGGGCTGCTGTGATCTGCACAATGTTTGCAAGGAGAAGGGGGAACCTTTTTTGCCAGGAGTAACCTCAAGATACTGCAGGATATCTGAACTGGCACACACCACCCGAGAGTGCATCTGTCATGACTGGTGCTGGAGCCACATGCCCGGGCCCTGCAGAAGGGGGAAATAAATGTTAGTTGAGGTTGTGCTGTTTATGGGTGTGGGGCAGCTGGGTGAAGGTTTCTGTAAATCTTTTGATATTACGTATTATGAATTTTATAAACACTTCCATGGAATCTACGGAGCTGCGTTATGCATTTCATCAGTACAGGCCCGGTACCGCAACTGATGATATACGGATTACTGTGATGGCAGTTTGTAAATTTTTATTATGAAAGTTAGAGAATGGGGCAGGTATTCAATGGGGTGTCTCATATTAATAGGGATCACTGACATAGTCTTGAAATATCCATACCATCAGGTTTTATGGGCGTAGTTGTCTCCTCGGTCACTTGTCTCTCCACGTCTAGTAAAGGGTTTCAGTTCTTAATTTACATAGACTAATATCACTATTATGCGCAGTTGTGAGGCCTTTTGACCTCTTGTTTTTAATAATTTATGGAGATATCCTATCTCCTAGAACTGGAAGGGAACTTGAAAGGTCATCGAGTCCAGCCCCCTGCCTTCACTAGCAGGACCAAGTACTGATTTTGCCCCAGATCCCTACATGGCCCCCTCAAGGATTAAACCCTGGGTTTAGCAGACCAATGCACAAAGCACTGAGCTATCCCTCCCCCGTTGTGTTAGAAAGCCTGGCTCAGTAGCATCACAATACAGACGAGTTTTAGTGTAATGTTATTTTAAAGCTGGGCAACCCCTGACCGTTCAATAGCACCTCCCCCCCCCCACGTGGGCCAAGACCCCGGGGCCTTTCATGCCTAGCTGTGCCCTGAAAAGCCGTTCCCCTCCCCAGAGCTGGCTGCAGGTCCGCGCACCAGCCGGAGCAGGAGACTTTCCCGAGCATTAGGGGACAGCAGGGCTGAGAGCGAGGGGAAGCCGGAGACCCCGAGCGCTGGGGGACCCCTGCCCGTGGGGAGCGCGGCGCGGAGGCGGCCGCCGGGCGTGGGGGTTTCGGCCCCGCTCGGAGTTATGGGACCGGGAGCCGCCCCCAGCCCCGCCCCGCCCCGCCCGCGCGGCCGGGCCACGTGGAGACCCCGGGCGGGCGCCAGGGGCTCCGGATCCGGGCCTGGGCCGAGCTGCCGGCCCGAGACCCAGCGGGGTCCCGCCCCCGGCTCCGGAGCGCGGGACTCGGTCCCGGGGGGCGCAGCGCAGGGACCCCCGCCTTACCTGGGCAGCGGCCTGCTCGGCCATGGCCCCCCGGCGGGGCTTCTCCAGCGGGCCCGGCCCGGCCGAGCTCCGCTCCCGCTCCGGGCTGGGCAGAGTCCCGGCGCCGCCTCGCCTCGCCACGGGCAGGGGCAGGGGCAGGGAACGGCTCCCCCGGGAACGGGCTACTTGGGGTGTGCACTGAGCATGCGCACGAACCGAGCATGCTCAGTAACATCTGGTGAAGCCACTGCCCTTCCCAGCCCTGGGGTTCTGCTGGCTGCGGGGGGGCGGGGCACGGTCTGAGCAGGGGCCGGAAGTTGAGGGGGGGAGGGGGAGTTAAGCAGTTGCAGGCAGGGTTAGGAGAGGGGCTGAGGGGTAAAATCAGGGCTGGGGGGAAGGAGACAGATTTAAGCCCAGGGGGGAGGCGCTGCCAGAGGGTAAAGCCCCAGCACAGGCAGGGCAGAGGGGGGACAGTAGGGAGACCAGACAGCAAGTGTGAAAAATCGGGATGGGGTGGGGGGGTAAGAGGAGCCCATATAAAAAAAAGCCCCAAATATTGGGACTGTCCCTATAAAATCAGGACATCTGGTCACCCTAGGTAACAGTTACCCCGGGGCTGAGACCCCAGTGTTTGCAGTAACAGGGTGTGGGGAGCAGAGGGGCTTTTTTATTTCCCCTCCCACAGACAGCACCTCTCAGCATGGGCTGGTTCTTAAGGCCCCCGCATCCCAATGCCCAGTCACTGCTGCTCCTCTTTGATGTAACCTACTGCGGTGCTGCATGAGGAGGCTTAATTCAGTGAAACCGGGCCTTCCTTCCTCCCCCCCCTCCCCGCCAGGCTGTACACCCCCCCTGCATTTCCCCAGCACCCCCCCAGTGGTCAACTAGTTACACGCAGTGCTGCCAATTCTGTCATTGGTTGGACACTGAAATTGAATTCGGCGATGTTGGCCAACCTTATAATTTAAAAATATGATTTGTAAGCAAGGTCTGAATGAGCTCTGCCCTGACAGCCAGTGATGAGCCAGGGATGGGGGAAAGGCTTTAGGACCAGACGGTATTGACATGAACTCACCTACTCTGCCAAGGCATCCAGCACACAGAGCTGTGTTGCCCAAGTGATCAATTTTGGCTGGTGTTGGGAATTTCTATACTAAACATTGGTATTATATTATAATTAATTTTTACATAAGAACATAAGAACAGCCATATTGGATCAGACCAATGGTCCATCTAGCCCAGTGTCCTGTCTTCCGACAGTGGCCAATGCCAGGTGCTTCAAAGGAAATTAACAGAACAGGGCAATTATTGAGTGATCCATCCCCTATCGGCCACTCCCAGCTTCGGCCAAACAGAGGCTCTCAGAGCACGGTGTTGCATCCCTGCCCATCCTGGCTAATAGCCATTGATGGACCTATCCTCCATGAACTTACTTAGTTCTTTTTTTAATCCTGTTCTTGTTTTGGCCTTTAAAACAGCCCCTGCCAAAAAGTTCCATAGGTTGTGTGAAAAAGTACTTCCTTTCGTTTGTTTTAAACCTGCTGCCTATTCATGTCATTGGGTGACCCCTAGTTCTTGTGTTATGTGAGAGAGCTTTCCATTTTCTCCACACCAGTCAAGATTTTATAGACCTCTATCATATCCCTCACTTAGTCGTCTCTTGTCCAAGCTGGAAAGTCCCCCATCTTTTTAATCTCTCTTCATACAGAAGCTGTTCCATACTAATAATTGTAGCTGCTCTTGCTGAAATCTACACTCCCTTTGATCAGAAACCTTTCTCAGTCAAGGCAACAGGACAAGTGCATTGCTGCCTCTGCCTGCCTGCTGAGCTGGTGAACTGTAATGGTCAGAGATCGCACCAGCATAGAGGTATATTGAAGGTGAACCCTAAGGAAATTTAGAGTTTCAATTTTCCTCCACATGTCCCGCATCCCACTAACATAAATCCAGGCAGGGTCGTTTGGAAGCTGAACACTTCATGCTTCCATCCCACACCACTGTCAAGTTTTGGCAAATTAGGAGAAGTCAGCACATAAGAACAACCATATGTATCAGTAACTGCTAATGGTAACAATTCACTACCTCTCCCTGCTACAGGTAGCAAATTCCTACTGATAGCAGTTTCTCACTCTAGGGTGTGTGAAATGGCTATCTGTAGGAATTAGCTACATCAGATAGAAGCAACAGAGGGTCCTGTGGCACCTTTAAAACTAACAGATGTATTGGAGCATAAGCTCTCGTGGTTCACAGGACCCTCTGTTGCTTTTTACAGATCCAGACTAACACGGCTACCCCTCTGATACCTACATCAGATAGCAGTTTCTAGCAAAGTAGGACCTGTCGCTGCTACAGGTAGCGCGTTCGTACAGATAGCAGTTTCACATACCCTATGGCAGTAGTGGGCACCCTGCGGCCCGTCAGGGTAATCTGCTGGTGGGCCGACAGACCGTTTGTTTACATTTGCACGGCCGCCTGCAGCTCGCAATGGTCGTGGTTTGCCGTTCCTGGCCAATAGGAGCTGCGGGAAGTGGCGCGGGCAAAAAAAGCAAACATCATTCTGGGATGTATTAGCAGCAGTGTCGTAAGCAAGACACGAGAAGTCATTCTTCCGCTCTACTCCGCGTTGATTAGGTCTCAACTGGAGTATTGTGTCCAGTTCTGGGTACCACATTTCAGGAAAGATGTGGATAAATTGGAGAAAGTCTACAGAAGAGCAACAAACATGATTAAAGGTCAGAAAACATGACCTATGAGGGACGACTGAAACATGATAACCATTTTCAAGTACATAAAAGGAAGAGGGAGAAAAATTGTTCTCCTTAACCTCTGATGATAGGACAAGAAGCAATGGGCTTAAATTGCAGCAAGGGAGGTTTAGTTTGGACATCAGGAAAAACGTCCTAACTGTCAGGGTGGTTAAGCACTGGAATAAATTGCCTAGGGAAGGGACTCTCCATCAGTGGAGACTTTTAAGAGCGGGTTGGACAAACGTGTCAGGAATGGTCTAGATAATATTTCGTCCTGCCATGAGTGCCGGGGACAATAAAAGAGTGCAGGGCACAAACTGCTACCTGTAGGAATTTGCTACATCAGGTAGCAGTTTTTTTACACTAGCAGGAGCACATTCCGACAGGGAGCAGGTTTCCCACACTACACCAGGCCCCTGTTTTGTAAAGGAACATTTCCCTTTCCCAGGGGCTGCCTTTCCCTTTGCCTTTCCCTTAGCAGCTCCCTGTTCTTTCATCAGGGTGACCAGACACACCCAAGGCACCTGCTCCTGCCCCTTCCTTGTTTTATAAACCTCCAGCCTGGCCCCTTTCGTCTCATCTCTACACAGCCCTGCTCTTAATAAATCTTCAGTTCTTTGCTATCGTCAGTCATCTTCCGCCCTCTACTACTTTCCTTTCCTCTTGCTCTGTCCCCATCTCGTCTTACTTTCCCCACCCACCCCCCGTTCTTCCTTTTCTCTGTCATCTTGTCTTCCCCTCCTCCCCCACCGGCTTATTCTCCCCCATGCCCATTGGCCTCTCGAACTGGCTCCAGCCCTCATCTGCAGCCCCCACCTTTGGAATGGACAGAGAGTGCAGGATGAAGCACAGACACCCCCACCCCCACAGTGGGCCGCTGGGGGCTTTTACCACACACAGCCCTAACAGCACACATGGGCCAGGACCCTGCCCCGGCAAACTAGCACCTGGCTTCACAGCAGTGTGAACAGCACAGTGAGAGCCAGGCCCTCCCCTCTCAGCCCAGCCCTGCCCCCAAGGTGGAGCCCCAGGTTCCCAGGCTAGTAACAATTTTAAATCAAGACTGGGGTATTTTTTGTAAAAAAAAGAGATGCTTTATTTCAGCCGAAGTCACCCAGTGTGTGTTATACAGGCGGTCAGAGCAGGTGACCCCAATGTGCCCGTCCGGCTTTGGAATCTGTTTAAATACTGACACGTATTAAACGCTGATCACAGGAGTCACTTCTCCACTGCCGCGAGCCGCCCGTCACCACACTCCATCCATTTGGATTGTCCCATAAAAACCAGAGTTTTTCACTTCAATATTCATTTGCTGCCAGTTCGTTTTCCTGCGATCGTGACATCCTGCTGCAGTGCAGTGGCTTTATTGTAACCTCTTATCCAGGACCAAATCTGCCTGGATTGTCACGCCTGTGCTCACCATCGGCACTGACGCACCAGGGCTTGGCCTTAATTGCCTTAGCAGGATAAGGTGAAATCAACGGACACCCGTGTCTCCCAGGTGAATTGGCCGTAGCTCGTTACAAATCAAAGACCGATCCTCCCCTTGCTTGGATGGCTGTGAGCGAGGGCAGGCCAGGGGTGGCTATTCCGACTGGAAGCCGTTGAGCCATTCAGCATCTCCCGCCTGTAGATTGCCCCGCTGACCGTGTTCCTGCAGACCGGCTCTCTCGCCTCTTACGATTTCTTCTTCCTGTGGCTGTGCTTGTGCTTGAGGAGGTGCTGCTGGCGGATGTAGGTCTTCCCGCACTCGCTGCATTGATAGGGCCGCTCTCTCTTCGTGTGGATTTTCTGGTGGTCCACGAGGTGGTGGTGCCGGTTGAAGGTTTTGTGACACTGGGCACACTGGTAGGGCCGCTCCCCGGTGTGGATCCGCTGGTGCCGGATGAGGTCGGATGGACGGGTGAAGCTCTTGCTGCAGTACGGACATAGTATGAGCGACCCCTTGCTGCGGTCGGCGTGCATCCTTTTGTGCACGACGAGATACCTCCTCTTGGAGAAGTGCTCCATGCATTCCCTGCACGTGTACGTCCTTTGCACACGAGGTGGCTGGTATTTGCTCAGACTCGGTTTGTGACCCAGCCTCTTGACCCGTTTGGCGATATCGCTGGAACCGTCTTCCGTCTGGCTGCGGGGCTGGGACTCAGGGGGAGCCGCTTGGCTTGAACGTTCCTGAGGAGCAGAGAGCGTGCAGGCCCCCGCAGCTGCCTGGTGTCGCAGATGCAGCAGAAATTTCTGCTTGGCTCTGAAACTTTCCCCACAGTTTGTGCACTCGTACAGCAGCTCGTTTGCGTGGCCCTTCTGGTGGATGATGAGATTTATCTTCAGCCTGAAGCTCTTCCCGCACACTGTGCACACAAACAGTCTCTCGCGAGTGCTCTTTCTCTGGTGGTGGATCAGGGCCCCGCCCCAGTGAGCGGCGTTCATTGTCCTGCTCTCTGCGTGGTTTCTCTGCCAGGTTCCTGAGCTGCATGCAACCTCCCGGGCTGTTACCTCCCCAGGATCCTGGAAATCCTCCTCGTCAAATCCTCCCAACAACATCCCCGGCACCTCCTGGTTTTCAGGACGTTCCTCCCCAGGGTCCTGGACACGCTCCCAAGATCCCAGGACAGCTTCCTCTTTCGCTCTCTCCAGCCACGTTCCCGGCACATCCTCCACTTGCTGCACCTCGGTTTTGATCACAATCCCCTCATCAGCTGGAAATTAAACAGAATCCAGAGATTATTCACTCCATCGGCTTGACATGAAGGAAACCTAAAGGTCTGGACTTCCCTGATTCCTAATCTCAGGGGCTGGGTCCCGTCTGCAGCCAGCACGCTGGCAGGATGCTGGCAGTGGCTGTCCAGAAAGAGGTAGACATTTCCCGTCTCAGTGTTTACAGAGGTTAGAAAATGACCTACTATTGGCAGAGTAAAATTGACCTCTGGGCCTAGTCTGGGCTTTAAGTGACACACAGGCCTCACGCTGGCTCACTGCCCCGGGTGAGTCGCACCAACCCCCTTCCAAAGCGGCCTCAGGTTTCTCTCAGAGAAGACGGGTTTGGAGTCACCCTTGAGTTATCCCGTTATGCTTGTCTGAGGTTTTGTCATGGATAGCCTGACGTTAACAGCACGAGACATGGAGGCTGGTTTGACTGGTCAGTGATTTAACAAAGTCACTTGAAAGTTCCTCTCTGGCTGAGAACTGAAGTGATGAGTTTCAACCCCACATGAATTGTAAGAGCCACGTTCCAAAGCTCTCTCATTACAGACGTGGAACGACACTGCTGGCAGAGTTGGACCTGGCTGCACCAAGAGAACTACAGAAGAAACAATGGGCCCGTTTGAGTGCAGTGTTGGAATAGCAGCTGTCTGTTTTTAACAGCTCTGCTCATTAGCTGAGTTCAGTCGTTTCTGGATCTGAACAACCTCAAAGCGAGGCTGAAAGAGTAGGCCAGCCCCCTACCATCAGACCCCATCACTGGAGTATCACGAGGGAGAAATGGGACCGAAGGCACTCCATTCCGTCCTGTGTGATCAGAGCAGCTGGGGGGGGAATAGAATGGACATACCAGCTGTTCCGTCTCTGAAGCAGAAACAGCCAGGGACAGCATACGCCATGGCATTTCTTACCCTTTACAACCCTTTCCGGTGGACAATGGGATTTACAGGCATTTCTCTACTCCCTGGGACCATCTGCGTCACATAAAGGCCCGTCCTGAAACCTTCAGGCAGAGAGACGGGCATGGGAACATCACGCCGTCACCTGAGTAGCTTAGTGCTGCCTGGGGCTGAGGCACCTGGTGAGGTGGCTTAAGAGTTGCAACAAAACACAAACGCTGCTTGCTCCAAATACCTTCGTCAGAGGGAAGAGGAGGAGACCAGCTCTGCTTCACTGACTCCTCCGAACACTCGGAGGAAGGACGGGTGATGGGAGGGATTAACTGCCTGCAGTCGGTGAGAACTGGTAGGAAGCCATGAGGAACATCTGCCGTGAAGAGATGACAAGTGCTGGTTACCACTGGATTACATACAGCAAGAAGGCACTCGTAAAGACAGGATTTCTTGCTCTTGCGGTTTCTGATGGGGTTAGTCTGTTACTCACCTGGGCTGCAGTGTGGTGGGTCTGTTGGGATTTTACTTTCCTCCAAAGCACCTTGATCCTGCACATGGGGCTCCTCCTCTTGTTTGATCTGTGACAGAGCGTCACTTGTCAACATGGGGGATTCCGGCCCTGAGAAAGAGAATTACGTCGTTTTACCGATAGCCACCGAGTTGAAAGCAGCACCTTGGGTTTGTGCTGGCCGTCTGCGCAGGGCGCGGGGATTTCATCCTCGCTAACAGCTGCAAAGCACTTTGAGCTCCACGGGAAGACGGTTTCGGAAAGCAACTCACTAGTCAGTCACTGGGGGATATACTTTATTGGTTACGGGTGGTGTCACAGCCTCGTGAAAAGCACAAGTGCCGTTTTCACTAGGTCATCCCACAGCAGTGAAAATCCAATCCCATCAACACAACCTCGCC